ATGTGACTATGGGGAATTTTAGAGATATTTTGAGGGTTTGTGGTGATAAAATATATATTCTTACATTATGGATGGATAGGATTTTGTTACATGTCAACGTTGAAGCTTCCATATGAGGTTTTTACCATTATAAGAGGGATAGCACCGGACACAGCTAAATCTAGGGTTAAAAGGGTGACATGGCTACATGTCATAGTCTTCAAGCCTATTATTGAAGAATAAATCTAAGGGAGAAGGGGGGACTTTTTCCATGGTATGGTGTAACATTTGGGAAGATCATATTGATAATATTAGTAGATACTTTGAGTCCAGATAGTTCAGATAATATCACTGGGGTTATAGATGCATTGAAGGAAATAAGGGATGCATTTGGAAGACTTGGTTGCAAGATCAGTTAGGCCAGTAGGGGCAGTGATGGGTTACATTTTAATGGCAGCTTTGATAGCACTGTGAATTTGTTACTTACCTTTGAGAAAGTTATCATATTGAGATAGGTTGGAGAGTGATTCCTGGAGACAACACTCAGATGCCGGTGTTGACTGTTCCTGATCTGGAGGAAGATGGATGGACTACTGATGGATAAATATCATTTTTTTTATGAGTTGATTATTTTTCAAATTTTTTTTTTCAATATTGGGGTGATGTTGGTATGATTTATGAATCAAAGGGGGGAATAGGTTTATGTGATTCATGCATCATTTATATATCAGTTTATATTCTTAGTTGATATTCATGTTTAATTTGAAAGTGTTTGTTTTGCAAAAGATACTGTTTGGTCGTTTCTTTTTCTTCCAGAAGCATTTGGGGGAACATATGGAGATTGAAATACTCAAACAGGAACATGGGAAGGGACAATATGACTGGAGGAGATGAAACAAGGAGGGTGTGGCTGATTCCATCATCAACAGTCCATTGGAAGTCGAGACTACAGGGAGATGAAGTGTAGTGGACTACATTCCAGTGTCTGCAATGAAATATAGACATGTGTAATACATAATTGTGTCATATTCTTAGGGATTAATTTTTGTAGAATGATGTTTGATGTTATTGAATACATGTGAGGAACTTAGATGTTTTTGTTTATTTCGTGAATGTTTAGGGACAGGAATTTAGGCAGGGAGAGTTCCACGGTAAGGTCCAATGGGTTGACCAGCCTTACAATGAATGTTTTTGGATAGGATTTAGTTTGCAGGGGCTTACATGTGTATTTAATTGCATCATAGTTCAAATGCATTTACATGGCTAATGAGTTTATCTGGAGTACCGACGGTGGTTGCCTGGGGCAGAGGGACCGTGAGAGAATTTTACTGTCTTGATTGATGGATGGATATCTGAAAAGATGGCTGCCGGACAGTTTTTCGCTCTTACACTCCATAGAGATTTGTTCATATGTCATAGTAATGTATTCACACTTCATATGTCATAGTAATGTATTCACACTTCATATGTCATAGTAATGTATTCACACTTCATAAACCATTATTGCATAGAAAGGTATTTACACTCTAGAGGAGAATGTTTTTGGTTTAATGTTAAAGATACTCAATAAGATAAATTGTTACCAGTCATAATCCTATTCTGTTTGTTTTCGAGACGTTTAGTTCGTCTCGAAGGGGGGAATATCGTATCTGAAGATTATGCCTTTGTTAAATGTTTTTCATGAAGAAATGGAATGTTGTTTGTGTTAGTATCAAGAGGGAATGTTTTGGGTGTGACGTCACATACAACAGACCGGAAGTGTCTTGTAGACAGGGGAGACTGGGGATTGGCCAGAAGAGGGAGCTTCATTGTTTATAAATAGGGGGGTTAAACGAAGAAGAAGTCAGAGCGAGCAGTCATTCGGAGGCGTCGCTCTCCGGGTGTCATGTCACCTGTCATTTATGCTGTAACCTCGTGATTTTAATAAAAGCCTCTAACACGATGCAGCATAGACGGACTCTTTGTTGACAGCAATAATGACCACCATTCATCAGATACGACACTATTTTCTTCATTGTAGAATAATAGTGAAGACATCAAAACTATGAAATAACACATATGTAGTAACCAAAAAAGTGTTAAACAAATCAAAATATATTTGAGATTCTTCAAATAACCACCCTTTTGCCTTGATGACAGCTTTGCACACTCTTGGCATTCTCTCAACCAGCTTCACCTGGAATGCTTTTCCAACAGTCTTGAAGGAGTTCCCACATATGCTGAGCACTTGTTGGCTGCTTTTCCTTCACTCTGCTATCCGACTCATCCCAAACCATCTCAATTGGGTTGAGGTCGGGGGATTTAGGCCTGATTTACACAATCCCCTCTGAACAGTTGATGTTGAGATGTGTCTGTGACTTGAACTCTGTGAAGCTTTTATTTGGGCTGCAATTTCTGAGGCTGGTAACTCTAATGAACTTATCCTCTGCAGCAGAGGTAACTCTGGGTCTTCCATTCCTGTGGCGGTCCTCATGAGAGCCAGTTTCATCATAGCGCTTGATGGTTTTTGCGATTGCACTTGAAGAAACTTTCAAAGTTCTTGACATTTTCCGTTTTGACCTTCATGTCTTAAAGTAATGATGGACTGTCGTTTCTCTTTGCTTATTTGAGCTGTTCTTGCCATAATATGGACTTGGTCTTTTACCAAATACGGCTTTCTTCTGTATAACTTGCCACAACACAACTGATTGGCTCAAACTCATTAAGAAGGAAAGAAATTCCAGAAATTAACTTTTAAGAAGGCCCACCTGTTAATTGAAATGCATTCCAGGTGACTACCTCATGAAGTTGGTTGAGAGAATGCCAAGAGTGTGCAAAGCTGTCATCAAGGCAAAGGGTGGCTATTTGAAAAATCTCAAATAGAAAATATATTTTGATTTGTTTAACACTTTTTGGGTTACTACATGATTCCATATGTGGTATTTCATAGTTGTGATGTCTTCACTTTTATTCTACAATGTAGAAAATAGTAAAAATAAAGAAAAACCCTTGAATGACTAGGTGTGTCCAAAACGTTTGACTGGTAGTGTATATACATATATTTGTGTTTGTTTCCTAAACAGGTGGGGCTGAAAACAGGTGCCCCACCTGCGCATCACTTGTAGATGAAGCACACCAACTCAACAGTAGCCGAATGTAACCGAAGGTAGACATTTACATTTTAGTCATTTAGCAGACGCTCTTATCCAGAGTGACTTACAGTTTAGTGAATACATATTTATTTTTTATTTAGTTTTTATACTGGCCCCCCGTGGGAATCCCAGTATAAAAACCCTGGAATGGCGGCCATTCATTCCCTCCCCTACCCTGGACGACGCTGGGCAATTGTGCGCCGCCCATGAGTCTCCCGGTCGAGGCCGGCTGCGACAGAGCCTGGATTCGAACCAGGATCTCTAGGGGAATGGCACAGTTAGCACTGTGATGCAGTGCCTTAGACCACTGCGCCACTCAGGAGAATAGACGACCGAAGCATGTTTCCTCTTAATCAGCTGTGGTTCGGTTAGGCTTGGCCATATTGTAGAAGTTTTTGTCATGTGCGAATTGCATCAGTATTGAAAATAAAAACAGATATCAACCATATAGGCCTACAGACCAGCGTACTGAAATCAGGCTAATAAAACGTCCCTGTGGATATTCTCTCAGATTACCTCCTACATAAGGACAAACCAGCAGACAACAGGTAAAGTACGTTCAAATGAAGTTAATTCAACAGTCTGACTTGTGATGGAACTGTTCACAAAAAGTGAGCCTACATGAGAGTGACGAGAGAGGAGTCTTCCACTGTCGGATTCGTAGAGGCTACCCCATGAATAGCTCTGAATGTGCTTGCACGCAGACGCGTGGTTATCCAATCAATTACTTAAAGGCAAATGTTGTTGTAAAAAATATTATTTCACCAGCCTACAGTACAACATGCACATCAATACGTATGTATCATATAGTAAAAAAGCTCAAATTCAGCCGTGCAAGAGAGTTTAGGCTTACCTCCGCAACGCTGTACAGTGCAGTTGTTGTTCAGTCTGTGGTCTGCGTTGGAAGGCAAAACAGATCCGCGATTATATTGAAACTGAAAGTGTTTCTCTTATGTTTAAAATTGAGCTTCCGGGAAAGCACGACGTTTATTACAAACAGTCCCTGCTCTGCTGTAGTGATCCGTGATCTGACCTATGCCGCATTCAAGTGCTGGTAGGTACTAGGAACTCAGAAATGTTCGACTTACTAACGGGTTGAACGCGGAATATGTATAACCAACACGTATGGCGCGTTCAAGTGCTGGTAGGTACTAGGAACTCAGAAATGTTCGACTTACTAACGGGTTGAACGCGGAATATGTATAACCAACACGTTAGCAAGTCGAACATTTCCGAGTTTCCTAGTTCCATTCAGCACTTGAACGCAGCACTATTCCTACCTAGAACAATAGCCCGATAATTGCCTCAATAACGCCATTCACACAATTTAACATTTTGTTGATTCATTAAAAAGTTCCATCCCTTTGACTGGTGAAAATAAGTGAAGAAAAATAATATTAGTGGCAACTTTCACTTTCTGTATCTGCAGCCAAATGGGTGCCACTAGTTACCACAGCCACAAAGTCCTAATCCTCGCCTATTTTTTATAATTTCACTTCTTAAAATGTGATTTTAAACCTAACCTTAACCACACTGTGTTGTTGCTCCTAGACGTTTCCACTTCATAATAACAACACTTACAGTTCACCTGAGCAGCTCTAGCAGGGCAGAAATTTGGAAGTCCCTCTCATATTGAAAGTGAAAGTGCTGTATGTTTGTATATTTATTTGACGCTGAGCAATATGTCCTTATAGACCCAGAGCAATACATTGTGTTACTGACAGCGTTAATTACGTGTTTGCAGAATGTTGGAACACACTGTACTTTGTTGGATCCATTCCCTTAGGGGTCACTCAGTGCATATAACGGTTGTGCAGCAATCATTGTACAACTGTAGCAGGCAATGCTGACACACATTGTTTTGTTTAGACCTTTTGTAGCTTTCATCAGTCAATCCTCAACTGGCCCTATAGATATGTGAGTGAGGTGACAGAGCGGATCAAGGTGAATTCTTCCAGTGCAGCTTCATCCTCTCACAATAAGGAGGAAGGAGGGGACGCCCAGTTTGTGCAGTTCTTTCCTAATTTTGTGTGGGGCACCAAAGATTTCACTCTACTACTTGAGATCGATGGCAGAAACGTCACTGAAGATGGGTATCTGGAGCATTCCTGGATCTCAGAAAAGGTGACATTAGCACTAGCCACCACTCCAATGATCAACTGTGCACAATGTCTCTCCATAGAATAGTGCACCATGAACAGTTATACAGTTGGAATAAACATTATCTCACAAAGAACATAGGGGTTGAAAAACAAGATGATTGATATTGGCTCTGACTGTGTCTAAATGACCTATTATTAAATAATTCCTATGAAAATGTATTGTCGGATTACACTCATAATCAAACAGACTAATAAAGTTAATGACATTATTTTATCCGGTTTGTTTTTTGGTCATAAAGTATTCTACATTATGTTAATTGAAGCATATCTCTTGATATGCTTGTCTGTTAATGATTGTGTGTTTGGATGGTGAACTTTAAGGGCCTGCCTCCCAGCCACAGATTAGGCCTCCCAGACGAGATTCTCCATTGAACACACTTTTTTGTCCAGCCCAGTACAAGTCCTAATCTGTATCTGGGAAACCAGCCCTAAAAATTGTGTAATGTCAACTGTAATGGTGAATGCTGACTATCATTCAGGTGGGGGTAGAAAGAACCTGATGTACAACCTCCCACGAGAGTGCATCCGGAACTACTTCCCCTCGCGCAAGTGCTTTGTATTCCCCACCCCTACAACTCCTGCCAACATGCCCCGCCTGGATTCCATGGATGAGGTTGACCTCTGTGGAAGCTTCCGAACGGTTGCAGATACTTTCTGCCGTTTCATTTCCCAGGAGAACTGTACAAAAACTGTGAAAGGGGGCCACAAAGTTACCGGAAGAAGTAAGTCAAATATCTGCAGATTCTGCACAGATGCATTGAATGTAGCCTATGTTATTGTCCCACCAAATGTGTACACTTATATTTTTCTTCCCGCCTCTAACTGATTGCAGTGCTTGGCCACTTGGTTAACACCTATGTGGAGACCATAGCCAAAGGCTCTGTGCCCTGTCTAGAGAATGCAGTGCTGGCCATGGCTCAAATTGAGAACCAGGCTGCTGTGGATGAGGGCCTGGCGGTGTTCCAGAGGGGCATGGAGGTGGTAAAGGCCTTATTCCCAGTGGACATGGGTCAGATTTCAACTCATCACCTCTGCTCAGACCACCAGGCCATACAGGCGTTCATGAACCGATCTTTCAAAGACAAAAATTTGGATTTCTTGAAAGCGTTAGCGGTAAGCGTCATCATTTGAGATCTGTGCCTGGGACAAACACTGACCTAGTTTCCCTAAAAAAGTCTCAACTCTTACAGGTGGCCATTGCAAAGCACTACGCTGACCTTCTCATCCAGAACGAGGATGCCTCAGAGAAGAAGTGTGCGGCCCTTCTGGAGAAACGGTCTACTCCGATGGCCCAGAAGATTAAGGAGGGGATTTACGCCACACCTGGAGGATATGAGCTTTACTGCAATCACCATGACAACATGGTGGCACAGTACCGGGCCGAGCCCAAAAAAGGAGTTGGGGTAAGAGCTTCGAACTGAATCCTTGCTAGGGCTGAAACATACATCAAAAAATCCATATTGAACACTGGAGCTGTTCTCATCTTTCAGGCCGATCCACTCAGTTTCAATGTCGTAGATTACTTGCTGTTCTTTCTATCAACCTCTAATGTTACTGTTATGTTATGATTTACAGTAGCTTCCATTATGTATGTTTAGGCATTCTACAACATCATACCAGAAACATCAAACAATGATAAAACATGTAGCCTTTGGGGGTGTTTTCTGCAGGCTGGGGATATTCTGGAGCAATTCCTGAGGGAGAAGAGTCTAGAGAAGAGTTCCATTCTGCAAGCTGACAAAAAACTGACCGAAAATGAGAAAAAGATCCACAGTAAGTCCAAAATATAGCAAGGGATGTTATTTTCCGGTTGAATTCAGGTTTTTGGTTGGAGTGACTTCTCACAATAAATTGGTGATAATCTTGCACATGCACTAAGTCAACATAGATCTGGGATGTTTGAAAGAGTACGTATGCGGGCTAAAGTTTAACCTAAAACTTATGGCCTACTCCAGAACTTGGAAAAGATCAGGGGCTGTCTGTTGCCTCCATATGAGAGAGAACATGAGTAGTCTAGAAGCTAGAGTATTTTCCTACCTCAACTCTTCCTTTGGACCTTGCAGAGGAGAAGGAGAGATCAGCTGTGCTGGAGCAGGAGAAGAAGGCTGCTGAAGAGAAACGGGCGGAGATGGATTTACCATGACTGGGAATACAGATATGCATCTGTTGGTCACAGATACCTTAAAAAAAAGGTAGGGGCATGGATCAGAAAACCAGTCAGTATCTTGTGTGACCACCATTTGCCTGATGCAGCCTTACACATCTCCTTTGCATAGAGTTGATCAGGCCGTTGAGTGTGGCCTGTGGAATGTTGTCCCACTCCTCTTCAATGGCTGTGCGAAGTTGCTGTATATTGGCGGGAACTGGAACAAGCTGTCGTACACGTCGATCCAGAGCATCCCAAACATGCTCAATGGGTGACATGTCTGGTGAGTAGGACCACCATTTGCCTGATGCAGCCTTACACATCTCCTTTGCATAGAGTTGATCAGGCCGTTGAGTGTGGCCTGTGGAATGTTGTCCCACTCCTCTTCAATGGCTGTGCAAAGTTGCTGTATATTGGCGGGAACTGGAACAAGCTGTCGTACACGTCGATCCAGAGCATCCCAAACATGCTCAATGGGTGACATGTCTGGTGAGTACGCAGGCCATGGAAGAACAGGGACATTTTCAGCTTCCAAGAAATGTGTACAGATCCTTGCGACATGGGGTCGTGCATTATCATGCTGAAACATGAGGTGATGGCGGCGGATTAATGGCACGAAAATGGTCCTCAGGATCTCGTAACAGGATCTCTGTGCATTCAAATTGTCAGTAGCTTATGCCGGCCCATACCATAACCCCACCGCCACCATGGGGCACTCTGTTCACAACGTTGACATCAGCAAACTGCTCGCCGACACGACACCATACATGCTGTCTCCCTGTACAGTTGAAACTGGGATTCATCCGTGAAGAGCACACTTCTCCAGCGTGCCAGTGGCCATCGAAGGTGAACATTTGCTCACTGAAGTAGGTTACGACGCCAAACTGGAGTCAGGTCAAGACCCTGTTGAGGACGACGAGCACGCAGATGAGCTTCCCTGAGACAGTTTGTGAAGAAATTATTCTGTTGTGCAAACCCACAGTTTCATCAGCTGTCTGGGTGGCTGGTCTTAGACGATCCCGCAGGTGAAGAAGCCAGATGTGGAGGTCCTGGGCTGGTATGGTTACACGTGGTCTGCAGTGTTGAGGCCAATTAGACGTACTGCCAAATTCTCTAAAACGACGTTTGAGGCGGCTTATGGTAGAGAAATTAACATTTAGTTACAGTGGGAAGAACAAGTATTTGATACACTGCCGATTTTGCAGGTTTTGCTACTTACAAAGCATGTAGAGGTCTGTCATTTTTATCATAGGTACACTTCAACTGTGAGAGACGGAATTTAAAACAAAAATCCAGAAAATCACATTGTATGATTTTTAAGTAATTAATTTGCATTTTATTGCATGACATAAGTATTTGATCACCTACCAACCAGTAAGAATTCCAGCTCTCACAGACCTGTTAGTTTTTCTTTAAGAAGCCCTCCTGTTCTCCACTCATTACCTGTATTAACTGCACCTGTTTGAACTCATTACCTGTATAAAAGACACCTGTCCACACACTCAATCAAACAGACTCCAACCTCTCCACAATGGCCAAGACCAGAGAGCTGTGTAAGGACACCAGGGATAAAATTGTAGACCTGCACAAGGCTGGGATGTGCTACAGGACAATAGGCAAGCAGCTTGGTGAGAAGGCAACAACTGTTGGCGCAATTATTAGAAAATGGAAGAAGTTCAAGATGACGGTCAATCACCCTCGGTCTGGGGCTCCATGCAATATCTCACCTCGTGGGGCATCAATGATCATGAGGAAGGTGAGGGATCAGCCCAGAACTACACGGCAGGACCTGGTCAATGACCTGAAGAGAGCTGGGACCACAGTCTCAAAGAAAACCATTAGTAACACATTACGCCGTCATGGATTAAAATCCTGCAGCGCACGCAAGGTCCCCCTGCTCAAGCCAGCGCATGTCCAGGCCTTCTGAAGTTTGCCAATGACCACCTGGATGATCCAGAGGAGGAATGGGAGAAGGTCATGTGATCTGATGAGACAAAAATATAGCTTTTTGGTGTAAACTCCACTCGCCGTGTTTGAAGGAAGAAGAAGGATGAGTACAACCCCAAGAACACAATCCCAACCTTGAAGCATGGAGTTAGAAACATCATTCTTTGGGGATGCTTTTCTGTAAAGGGGACAGGAAGACTGAACTGTATTGAGGGGAGGATGGATGGGGCCATGTATCGTGAGATCTTGGCCAACAACCTCCTTCCCTCAGTAAGAGCATTGAAGATGGGTCGTGGCTGGTCTTCCAGCATGACAACGACCTGAAACACACAGCCAGGGCAATTAAGGAGTGGCTCCGTAAGAAGCATCTCAAGGTCCTGGAGTGGCCTAGCCAGTCTCCAGATCTGAACCCAATAGAAAATCTTTGGAGGGAGCTGAAAGTCCGTATTGCCCATTGACAGCCCCGAAACCTGAAGGATCTGGAGAAGGTCTGTATGGAGGAGTGGGCCAAAATCCCTGCTGCAGTGTGTGCAAACCTGGTCAAGACCTACAGGAAACGTATGATCTCTGTAATTGCAAACAAAGGTTTATGTACCAAATATTAAGTTCTGCTTTTCTGATGTATCAAATACTTATGTCATGCAATAAAATGCAAATTAATTACTTAAAAATCATACAATGTGATTTTCTGGATTTTTGTTTTAGATTCCATCTCTCACAGTTGAAGTTTACCTATGATAAAAATTACAGACCTCTACATACTTTGTAAGTAGGAAAACCTGCAAAATCGGCAGTGTATCAAATACTTGTTCTCCCCACTGTATCTGGCAACAGCTCTGGTGGACATTCCTGCAGTCAGCATGCCAATTGCACGCCCCCCTTTAAAACCTGAGACATCTGTGGCATTGTGTTGTGTGACAAAACTGCAAATTTTAGAGTGGCCTTTTATTGTCCCCTGCACAAGGTGCATCTCTGTAATGATCAGGCTGTTTAATCAGCTTCTTGATATGCCACACCTGTCAGGTGGATGGACTATCTTGGCAAAGAAGAAATGCTCACTAACAGGGAAGTAAACAAATTTGTGCACACAATTTTTGAGAGAAATAAGCTTTTTGTGCGTGTGGAACATTTCTGGGATCTTTTAATTCAGCTCATGAAATATGGGACCAACACTTTACATGTTGCGTTCATATTTTTGATCAGTATACTATTTATGTCTTATATTCTTTGAGAACGTTGTCTATTGAAGCAAAATATAATTCATATGGATATTATTTCATTTGAAAACATAACCAATCTCTGGAGTTGTATATAAAATGCATATGAGTTTATAAATAAATACATTTTTTTGAATCCACTTTGAATCTGTTAGTGTTTATGTAAGTAGTAGTAGTCTGTTACTGACTCGCATCTGGAAAACCCCAATTATGCCTTCATGGCCTGACGCTCCTCTTTTTGTTATTTTTGTTATTTATTTTATTGAATATTAAAACATACAATCTACCTGCAGTGAAGCCACTCACAATTACATTCAGTCATTTAAATTTTTGTCATTTAGCAGACACTCTTATCCAGAGCGACTTACAGTTAGTGAATATATATATAATATCTATATATATTTTTTTCATACTGGTCCCACGTGGGAATTGAACCCACAACCCTGGCGTTGCAAACGCCATGCTCTATCAACTGAGCTACATCCCTGCCGGCCATTCCCTCCCCTACCCTGGACAACGCTAGGCCAATTGTGCGCTGCCCATGAGTCTCCCGGTCGCGGCCGGCTGCGACAGAGCCTGGATTCGAACCAGGATCTCTAGTGGCACAGCTAGCACTGCGATGCGGTGCCTTAGACCACTGCGCCACTCAGTCATCTAACAGACTCCCATCCACAGTGACCCACGAAATCAACCAGGGTCAACACCCTGCCCAAGAGCACGTCGACAGATCTCCCACCAAGTCAAAATGGGGACCCGAACCAGCGACCTATCGGCCACCGGCCCAAGCTCCCAACCGCCAGGCCAACAACCCTCCAAGATCCCCCGACAGCTGCCCCCCAAAAAAAAACCTCTCCCTCCAACCCACCAGAGAGCAATAGATAGCAAGCTCCATGAGCAGGAAAAGCTGATGGCTAAGGGCTTCACAGAGAAAGAGGCAGCCAAGAAGGAGGAGATACAGAGCCTGAGAGAGAAGGAGGAGGCCAAGCGCGAGGAGAAGGAAGGGCAGTCTTGTAACTTCAGAGCCATAGCACAGGGTGTCATAGAGAGTGTCAGCAATGGCTTAGGTCACTACTTTAACTATAGGAAAGCCTGTGAGGAACGCAAAGCAGTTGTGTTAAAGGAGCGAGTCAGATCCACTCTCAAACTCAAATCAGGTAGGGTTGGCAGTATCCCTGATATGGAGCGCATGACACTCAAGCAAGACAAGATGACCACGCCCAAACTCAAAATGGGAGCAGTTAGCAACTCTAAAGACAATAAAACTCTGCCCAAAGTCAACACAGGTACAACTGGCAAAAGCCCTGGCTCAGAGTTCTAAAGGATGCGCCAGAGAATGGTCAATGGTCCAGATCAGCAGCCACACCTTTCTCCAGTCTCATCATTAACCAGAAGAGCCCACTAAACTACTAGGAAATAGTGCAACAGAAACACTGCTGTGCAACAACGGTACAATGAGGCCAAACCAGCTGTCAGTTCACAGAAGTCAGTTCCTCAGTTTATAACCATTCATTTCTCATTCTGATAACCTTTTAAATATTATTAAATGTTATTATAGACCAGTCTTAGAATTGGAGAGTTAAGATGTGTGCTTTCTTTTGTTCTTGGATGTAGGGTAAAATATATGAGCTTGCTGAACTTGTGTTAGAAATTGCGTAATTCAAATCTGGTATTAGAATAAGAATCAAGAGATCTTCAATCCAAGCTTAATTTATTATATGCAAAATGTATGTATGATAAGTATGAAGGTTCGTATATACGGGTCCACTGAAATACCACGCAGGGCACTCAGAGAACTAACACATTGTTTACAGGTTATTTCTCAAATACTCTGACAGATAGTTCCCACCTCTTCTGTTGGCCAACCAGAGTAAAGGACTGAGTGTGGTTTAGACTTTACTCAGCCAATCCGTTGGCGCAGGGGTTGGTCCCAACTCCTCGGCGCTTCATTTGTTGCACACTGTTGCCAGGCACAAGTTTATCATAACAACCTGTGGAGTCAGCACCCAAAAGACACCATTCCACTGTACTCCATGTACCCACGTTCAAGGACGGTTTCACAGACAACAAAGAGAGAGTGTTCGTATCTGTGAGAAATACAAGTCTTATTTCATCCTAGCCCCTAACGTTCCCCACATGAATCACAGCCTGCTATGTGAAACAATCCATATCAGTACAGTTCAAACCTATGCTCCTCATTAATGCATTCCTTCCAAGCTATTCATCACATACAGATCCAATTATGAGAAAAATAGAACCCAACAATCCCCCTTTTGACGCCCTCTAGAGTGTCACTCCACCAAGCCTGGTAGGTCATATCCTTAGGTCGGAGTCCGGGATTGGGCCGTATCTCACCATCTGTTTGGAAACCACCTTCTCCATCTCCTTTTCTCACCAACCCTCAGACACAGGAAATAAGACAACATCCACAAGAACAAGTATACCCACAGAAGCTATAACTTCACACAGAATAGTCACAGCAATAGTTTTTCCATTTACCAAATATGTTATCAAACCAACCGTTTATGGAGCTATCAATACCAGAGTTCTCAACCAGTTCGTTCGCCAGCGTGGTGAGTCCCTGAAGCGCTTTGGTCACGGACCCGTCCGGTGCTGTGTTGTTGGAGATGAAAGTACAGCACATATATCCAAACAGAACACAAACCCCGTCCCGCTCAGCCACAAGCATATCTAAAGCTATTTTATTCTGCCATGTCATTAAGCTAGTTGCCACTGTCTGCTCAGCTAATCTTTGCTGGTTATAGTACATATAATTCATCCAATCTATGTTTTTATTAATTGTTGACCACCAGAAATACTTAATTCAAACCCAGCTGCGATCTGATTCCTAGCTTTGAATTGTTCTGGAACCCCTCGGGGTACTGCTATCCCATCAATATATATCCTTTCATCAAAGGATCCCGGGAGGGAGGTCCTACTTTCTACGTGACAACTCACCAGTCTCTGACACGTTTGATTGTTGCGTATGTAGGTGAGTTCACAATCAGTTATCACCCACACAGCCATCAGATTGTCAGCACGGGCCTGGTTTTGGTTCCTAAAATCCTCTGGCTGCAACAAAGAGGAGAGATTAGTCATGGTCTCTTTAGTTGTGATATTGTCTGTGTGGGAGCAGGAGCTAAGATGCCCTACCCTGTATCCTATCTTATTAGTCCTAGAAAACAATAAGACTCCGCTGTGACTTCAAAACTGAGGCAACCCAGGTCGGGATGACTTTGTTATCGGGGGATACAGATAGTGCAAGTTACTACAAGACTCTTTCACCACATTCCAGTGGCTTGCATGGAACCTGACAGAGAGTCAAAGCCTGTCAAGGGGAACTGAGTAGTTGTTAACCTTGGTTTGGCTGTCCTACAGGTACAACAGTCCTCTTTAGACCGTATACTGAATCCATTCCAACCACAGGTTAAAATCTATTTACTCCGTCTCCATCTGTACTACTTCCTTCAGGTCTATAGTTTTGCACTGTCTCACTACCTCCCTCAGAGAGGTTTACTCTATAGGGGTGCCCCAGTTGAAGAAGATATCTCACTTATCAGGTCTGTAATCTGTTTTAGCATAATTCAGACTTTCAGACAGGACCTACCCTCATATGGGTCGCACTGCCATTTCTGATAATTCCCTACTTTCACAATACTACACCTGTCCCTAACTGTGTATGGAGATGACATATTCCCCCACCCCCGATTGGTATAAGCAAATACATGTCCCAGGATTGTACATAGGTGCAACATACATGGGTGATGTCCTTCCCTAAAGTCCCGAGTATTTCCCTTCCTACGTCTAGCTGTATCCTATGCCTTTCAACTTGTGTTAGGTTAAACTACCACTTCGGCTTGAAAAACAGAGGGTCCGTGGTGTTAGGAAAGGCCCCCACAATCAGACAGCGACCTACGCGTAGCGACCTGTGAATCCCCACCCTCGCCCTGAGAACAGGTCAGACGCCAGAGGCCAACCATGCTTACATTCCATCGAAACTCACACAGGGATGATCAGACAGGGTAGGGAAGCTTCGTTACGGAGCCAACCGCACGAAGCACTAGTAGGTGATCGGTTCTTTCTCCCCCTTAATTCTGTTTTTGTTCGTCAGGTGTTAGCGGGGTTTACCTTTTTGCAGTGAGTGGACATGAACCAGATGGATCTCTCAGATATTTGCTGGCAAGGCAGCACTTGGTTTCGAGCCTTCCCGCCAGCTGCTTCAGTTCCTCGTTAGATAGGTGGGTAACCTTACTCTTTAGCTCACCTGTGGGGCACAAAACCTCGGACATACGGGCTGTGGTAATAACTATATTCACCACATACATGTTTCAGCCTCCAATTTCGAAATTCTTTTTTTAAAAAGTAGGATTTGTCTCTCGAACATTATATTTCATCCTACAATTCTACATACCATCAGTACCCCATTGACAAATGATTTGGGAATGTGTCAATATTACCACCCTACCCTAAACAATCACTTTCGTTAAAATATTGGTAATTTCATATCAATTCCATCCTCCACTCTCTTTCTGTTATTTTATGGTTCAATCATAATATTACCAAATTTACATCTTCTTAACACTTTGACACAGTATACCAATTACCCTCACTTAGTAAAATAAACTCTAAAATAAATCTAAATGTCCTCCCCACCTCTCATGCTTTAGAATTTTACAGTGTCGATGTTAAAATAAACACCAGAATGTTTAAAAACAGAGTTCAGAGGCCATGGAAATTCATTTAACGACTGTTTAATCCCATAGTTATCTAAAATTACCATTATGTCTAAAGATGTCATATTGTTAGTTATCGCAAGTGTTCAGTTAAGTCTCCTGACATTCATTCTCATAAGAAATCATAATACCCAAACTCAGCCAAAACTGAAAAACTCAATAAAAATTCAGCTGTGTGTGTGCTCCTCTAAGACCTATCACCCTTGACTGTGAAAAACCCCCCATAATTGGAAACAACCAAGGCTTTATAAACATCATAACGTAGGTGTGTGTTGTTGTTGAAAAAAACCAATGTGAAATAACACCACAAATATTAGTTAGGCTCAAACTTAATTGGTAGCTCCCTTTATGACCCTAAATATGCCTAACCGAGATGAGTAATCTCTTTCTCATGGTTATCATCTAAAGATGGTAGTACACAAAAACATGCTACAGAATCCCCAGTCTTAAACCCATCAATAATTGTTTGTATCAATTCTACTTCCTCAAATAATCTTAAAACCACTTCCAAAATTACTAGGAGTATACAATGATTATTTACTTGATTACCCTAAATCTGCATACATGGGATATCATATCAAATGATCCATTATCAATTATTTGCCAACCCCCTAGGAACATCTTTCGTCCCCTTCTATTGTTCTGTACCCCTGTAAATGTCATATTGAGTTTTTAGCCAATACAATCACGGTACATCAAATGTTCCCTCATTTTGGTTTTCTCCAATATAACTTCCCTAAATGAGATTAAATCCCCTGCCCTCCTTATATCCTTTAATCATTACGGATCAATGATAATACATTGTAATAACCTTCCACATGAAATTGTTGCTTTTTTATGAGAAGTTAAATTGTAGCCTATTCCATCAATTAGTAATATAAGTTTGTAACCAAATCCATAACCAACCACAGGCTGGCGCTATTTCACCCATCAGAAAAGCCAATGTCACTGGCATCCACTTAACCAAAATTACAAATCGTTCTAAAATGTTCCCAAAAATTTATATTTTCCCGCTTTAAACCATTTCAGTTCGCTATTCAATTTATTTCAATGTTTATCTGATAATTTTTTTTTTAGCATGATGTTCCTACATCTGAACTGTACTGTCTCTTCCCTCCCCTTGCTCCTCGGGGAGGAGCGACATGGTAACCTATAACTTATTATTATTATAATTGTTCATAGACTTTCTAGAATACTTCTATTTACGCTATCTTGACGAACCCGGGCTTTGAACGTTCTAGGGTGTATGACATGAGAATCCGAAATAATTCAGTAAAATTATAAGTGTCGGCATGGAACAGTGAGCCAAATATGACACACAACCATGAACTTACCGTCAAAAACAAAATGGTTATTTATGAATTGAACACACGGTTTAAAGGTTGGGAAAAAACAAGGGTTCTTGAGCAGGGACCCAAGAAATGCAAAACAATAGTGTAAACCCTAAACGGTCTTGCGCCTCAAGAAAAAACGTAGCTACGCTTACCATACAAAAAATTACAGTGGGGGTCCTCAGGTCTAAACTAGTGTTTATAGACAGTTCTTCTACGGGAGATGATGCCCAGGGAAGGCTAGCTCAAATCCCCTT